TGCCCAAGAAAACCGCCGCTGGGGGCGCCGCTAAAAAGTGAAGAGACTGTTATTTCATCTGACGACCCAAAGGCTCTTTTAAGAGCCACCCACAGTGTCTGTGAAAGAAACTAGATTCTCACCACTGCCGAGTTAATTTTAATATCCTTTGTATTACTGAGAGACCGTTAACTTAATATTCACTCCGCCATTATTGTTATTGTTAATGAGCTATAATCGCCTGGACGGATTGTATACATGCGGCAGGTTCCTGTAATTGCATTGGAAAGATCTGACACTGGTGGAGGAACACCAATAAATTTAGAAATTGGGAAATAATGACCCCGGTAGCCGCAAAGCGATTCAGTACAACAAGGTGTGGAGCTGGATGAACACGGCAGGCCAAGCAGCATCCGAGGAGTAGGAAGGCTGACGTTTCGGGCCGAGACCCTTTAGAAAAATCCTGCTCCTCTGATGCTGCTTGGCCTGCTGTGTTCATCCAGCTGCACACATTGTTCTCTGATTCTCGAGCATCTACAGTTCCTACTATCTCTGAAGCGATTCAGTATCTCTTGACATGATGTTTTCGACCAGATAAAACTATTTGCTGTACTGTACCCCCTCCGCATATGCTGCCTTTCCTCTTCTCGGGTCTCCGCTCTCAATGTAGGGTTTTGGGTGGCTCTGAAGACAGAATGGAGGTTGTATATTTAGCACTGAAGCTGTTGTTGAACGTGTGCTGTATTTTGTGTTGAATGTTTGATTTAAAGATTTGCGATTGTTTAATTTCTTTTATTTCAACATTGGTTTTTTGATGAATAAGCTGAAACGAGTATTTAAAACAAACTAGTATCTAAACGATGGTTCTGGCGATTTAAATCTCGGATTACTGATACCAATGTTCATGGACTAGAATTTAATCTAGATATGACTGTGAATTAGAGGCTTCAATATCCTTTCGCAATTTAATGTTGTACTGTTTACAATGCTCCCTAGGTGGCACTGTATCATATCACATACAATCACGAGTAAATAGTGAATATGAGACATACACCTGCACCCAGCGGTGAGATGGCAGTGAATTAATCCACCCATGCGCTTTAGTTGATTGCAATTCTCTTTTTTTTTATTTTATATTTTAGACAATCGAGATTTGAAAGTCATAATAGGTTAGTATGGAATTGGAGAAACTGTTTATTTGTGGAATGAACTCAAATGATTGGCTGATGGAGTTTACATCAGGTAAATGTGAGATGCTACTTTTTGGAAAACCAAATCAGGCCAGAACTTGCACACCTTGGCGGGGAATGTTGCTGAACAAAGACGTTGCAGTACAGATTAATAGTTCTTTGAAAGTGGAGTTGCAGGTAGATGGGATAGTGAAGAAGGCGTTTGGTATGCCTGTCTGTATTGGTCAGTGCATTGAATATGGAAGTTGGGAGGTCATGTTGCATCTTTACAGGACATCTGTTCGACCACATTTGCAATACTGTGTGTAATTCTGGTATAACTACTTGCAGTACTCTACTCCCTCTTTTACGAGCCACCCACAGCATCAATGAAAAGCAGCGAGACCGTCACTATTGGCTTTCTTTTTAGCACGAACTCCCGGGACTGTAACGAAACTGCTATAAATGAGGATTTTTGTATTTTTGAAGACTTGCAGAATGAGCCAAGATCAAGCTAGAACAGCTGGCTGGCTGGAATAGTAAATGTGGAGATTTTGCAGTGCGGGACAGTGACATGTAAATAATAGCTGAATGTGGTGTCCCCATCAATACGCTGACAGGGAACAACATCAGGGAATGCCGACATAGCAGAAAGATGCCATTCGAGTCTGAACCGACACTCCGAACAGCATGTACCGAAGTAGACGAGAGGGAGAAGGGGAAAAGAGAAATTGTGTGTCCTAAACTTTAAAATCTTTTAAATGCTTTGGCGGGCTTTTGAAATTTACGGTTATAGCTGGGGAAACGCCGAGGTAGACAATGGGCACACAGGCGTTTTATCGGCATTTCATAAACTTTTGCATACATGGAGTCCAGCACTTCAATTGTATTCTATGAATACTGCTAAAATCTCAACTTCTAACGTGATTGGCCCTCGTTGACTTTTGTCTTTAAATGTATCTCCTGTGCCCATTCAGTCCATGTAATTGCTGCTGCATTGACACACTGCAGCTTTAGTACGCTGTGGGTTTATGGTAAAGAAGGTAATGGCGCCGACCGCTGGCTGTTCTCTCTGCCAATCATAAATCTCCTGTATACAAGGAACCTTCAATTATGTTCTGCGATCAATTTATAATCGCTACTTGAATTTTGTCTTTGAATTAACGTGACAAATGCTTTCCTCAGCCTGATTTAATTTCTTCAATTACAGCCGAAACGACGCATTGCAATAAAAGAAAACCATGGGCGCATAGTAAAGTAACCAAGAGGGCCGACTGATTGCTGCTCTCTCTGGATGGTTTAGTAGCTCTGAAAAGAGCCGTTGTGTTTCTCGGGGATAACGTGCTGGGCCGGGCGCGCTCCCCGCCGATCCGGCAGGCCAGCTGGATGTCTTTGGGCATGATGGTGACTCGCTTAGCGTGGATGGCACACAGGTTGGTGTCCTTCAAACAGCCCCACCAGGTAAGACTCGCTGGCCTCCTGCAGGGCCATCACGGCCGAGCTCTGGAAGCGCAGGTCGGTCTTGAAGTCCTGAGCGATCTCCCGCACCAGGCGCTGGAAG